GTTGCTCCGCGCGTCGCGCTCTGCTGCAGCCCGCGCGTCGCGCCCTAAGGCAACCCACGAGTCGCGCGCTGTTGCCTCGCGCGTCGCGCCCTAAGGCAGCCCGTCGCGTCGCGCTCTCCTGCGCCAGCGCCCTGCCCTGCGCCCGCGCCCTGCCCTGCGCCAGCACCCTGCCCTGCGCTAGCGCCCTGCTAAACCCTAATTTTTTTTTTTTTTTTTTTTTTTTTTTTTTTTTTTTTTAAAGGCCCTAGGTGCTTCTGCCCTAGGAGCTATTACCTGCTACTGTGACAAAGTTCTTAGCTAGGCTTAGGAGCCATAGCTAGTGAGGTAGGAAGTTGAGTTCGAGTTTAGGAAAAATGTCGAGAGGAATGAGGGGTTTCACTATAGGTTCAAGGGTACAAATATGAGACAACAAGCAAGAAAGGTGCACCACCAAATAGGAAAACGCTATAACTACAGTAACCAATCCTACAGGCAGTTACATATAGAAAATATTAAATTATATTTTCCGACACGCCCCCATAACTGGCTGTAGGAGATGAGTATGCAGTTAGCGCCCTCCGAAGGGGTACATCACGATTGCGCAGGAGGAGAAAAGTGTTTCAATAATACCACTCCCCTGGCTCCCCCACACCCTCACACCCTCTCACCCTCCCCCTCCCCTTCCCTTTCCCCCTCCCCCACACACTGCTGCAGGAGCAGCAGAGGGGGGAAGAGAGGAGAGGTGGAGGGACGGGTGCTGGGTGGTCTCACACCCGCCACCCCAGTGCCACTCCCCGGGCTCCCCCACACCCTCACACACTCCCCCCCAGCGGCAGCTGTAGCAGCGGGAAAAAAAGGAGGAGGAGAGGGGGGGGGGGGGGGGGGGGGGGCCGACGCACGGCCTCCCCGGGTGCCAAAGCAGGCGGCAGAGGGGGCGACGCCTGCCCCCCCCTTCCAGGTCGCCCCTCCCGGCACCTGTCGAGGTGACCTGAGGGGGCCGCGTGCGGCCCCCGAAGGAGCCGCGACGGGTTACGGGAAAAGGGGGGGGGGGCGGTGCACGTGCCCCCGGTGTGCCGCGGCTGGCGACGGGGCATGGCCGGGGCGGGGTCGGGGCCGCAAGTGGGCGGGGCCGTAGGTGGCATCGGGGCCTCAGGTGGCGGGGCCGCAGGTTGGCGACGGGGCCGTAGGGCCGCAGGAAGGGCGGCGGTGGGGCCGCTGAAAGGGCGGGCGAAGGGCTGCTGGTAGGGCGGCGACGGGGCCGCTGAAAGGGCGGCGATGGGGCCGCTGAAAGGGCGGCGACGGGGCCGCTAAGAGAAAATTAAGGGGGGCACGCCACGGGGCGTGCAGAACACAGAGTAGCAGCGGAAGCAATAGGGCGGGTCCACAGGCCAGGACCGTGATCACTCTGATAGCATGACAAAGTTCTTAGCTAGGCTTAGGAGCCATAGCTAGTGAGGTAGGAAGTTGAGTTCGAGTTTAGGAAAAATGTCGAGAGGAATGAGGGGTTTCACTATAGGTTCAAGGGTACAAATATGAGACAACAAGCAAGAAAGGTGCACCACCAAATAGGAAAACGCTATAACTACAGTAACCAATCCTACAGGCAGTTACATATAGAAAATATTAAATTATATTTTCCGACATACTGCCCTGCTGTGATCGCGCGCCGCCCTGCTCTGGCTGCACGCCGCCCTGCTCTGGCCGCGCGCCGCCCTGCTGCTCTTACCGCTGCTGCTGCTACTCGTGCTACTGCCTTCACTCCGTACTGCCCTAGAGGTCGTGCTCCTCCTAGCTTGCCCACCATGACTTCCCTTTGTCGTACCGGTGGGAGTGGTGACGGCGGTGGTGGCAGCAGTGGGAGCGGTGGCGGCCGTAGTAGCAGTCACTGTGACGCTCTTTGGTGCAGAGTGTCTGGCGGTGGCTAGATGCAGCTACGGCGGCGTCCGACCCTTACGCCCCGGCAGCTTCGTGAGTGGCTTTACCAGCGTGGGCCGTCTCCGAGTCTGGGTCGCTGCCCGTACGTCATTCGCACAGGTTGTCGAGCTGGTGAGACCTGTGGGACACCTGGTCACGCACAGTCCCGCTGCTTCGCCTATTTGACTGACGCCTGGCGCACAGAGTTTGGCGACGAGGCTGAGATCCCCCCCTGGCTTGAGCTGCTTAGGTCGGGCGTTGCTGTCTTTGCATTAGTCCATGACGCCATCCTTACTGCCATGTCTTCTTTGCCTGGTGGTGCTGAGAGTGACTGTCACCTGCGCGTGCAGTACGACCCCAGTATAGAGGTTGCTGCTCTAGGTGCTAGTGAGACTGCTGCCTTAGGTGCTAGCGAGTCTGCTTCCTTAGGTACTGCGCCTGCTGAGGCCTTGCACACCTTCACACTTGGCTCAGGTGCTTCCCGCTGTTTCTTTCGTGGCAGTACTGCACTCACACCACTCACTGCACCTGTTGCAGTCTCTCTGGCTGACCCCTCAGGGGGCCCAGTTCTTGCACGGTCCACCACTGTGCTTCCGTGCCCGGCGGTTCCGTCTAGCTCACTGACAGGCTTCCACCTCCCCTCGTTCTCTACGAACTTGGTGAGCAACGCAGTTCTCCAGGACCAGTGGGTTGACACCTTTACCCCTGGAGGACAGCATGTGGCGATCTGTACGTGCTCCTGGACCGGCCGCCACCTGGCCACGTTTACCCGTCGGCCAGGGTCGAGTCTTTACACACTGACGACTGCGCCTCCTCAGGTAGCTGCTACTGGTCAGGTGTCTGCGTCAAGTCAGGTAGCCTCCCCTTGTGAGTGTCGCTCCCTGTCGCACCAGACTCTTCTCTGGCACCACCGTCTGGGTCACCCCTCCTTGCCACGTCTACGTGGCATGCACCGTCGCCTCCTTGTGTCTGGTCTTCCCAGGTCTCTCCCTCCCCTCCCTGCCTCGCCTGCGCCGCCCTGCCTTCCTTGCGTCGAGGGGCGGCAGCGCGCCGCTCCTCACTCCTCCTCGTTTCCCCCCACAGAGGCTCCTCTGCAGACCCTCCACCTGGACATGTGGGGCCCAGCCCGCGTTCGTGGACAGGGCGGTGAGCGGTACTTTCTGCTGGTTGTCGACGACTACTCGCAGTACACCACGGTCTTCCCCTTGCGCACCAAGGGTGAGGTCCCTGCTGTCCTGATCCCTTGGATCCGAGCAGTTCGTCTCCGGCTCCGCCGCAGGTTCCGCCAGGACCTTCCTGTCCTGCGTCTGCACTCTGACAAAGGTGGTGAGTTCACCTCCGACCTCTTGCGGGCCTTCTGTCAGGGGGAGGGCATCGAGCAGTCGTTCACGCTTCCGGGCTCACCACAGAAAAATGGGGTTGCTGAGCGCCGCATTGGCTTAGTCATGGAGGTTGCTCGTACCTCCTAGATTCATGCGGCGGCTCCCCATTTTCTGTGGCCGTTTGCGGTCCGGTATGCCGCGCAGCAGCTCAACCTCTGGCCCCGTGTCTCCTTGCCGGAGACCTCGCCTACACTGCGTTGGACGGGGGAGGTTGGCGATGCGTCGCGTTTCCGGGTCTGGGGTGCTCGTGCCCTTGTCCGCGATACGTCTGCGGACAAGCTCTCCTCCCGCACCATTCCCTGTGTCTTCCTTGGCTTTGACCCTGACGCGCCTGGCTGACAGTTTTACCACCCCACCTCGCGCCGTGTCTTCCCCTCTCAGGACGTCACCTTTGACGAGTCGGTTCCTTTCTACCGTCTCTTCCCCTACCCCACTGCCCCTCTCCCTCCCCCGCCGCTTGTCCTCGCTCCAGGTCCCCCTCTGGTAGACCCCCTCCCCCCTCAGGGTCCTGCTCCTTCAGGTGTGTCTCAGGTAGACCCGCCCCCCTTGGCTGAGCCTGTAGAGGTCACTAGCGACTCAGGTGCTGCTGCGGGAGGTGCTGCTGGGGGTGCTGCTTCTGAGGGTGCTGAGCCTGCGCGTGAGGTGCTGGGGAGTGCGGAGCCTGGGGGTGCTGAGCCTGCGGCTGCGGAGTCTGGGGGTGCTCAGCCCGTCCGTGAGGTGCCGGGGGGTGCGGAGCCTAGGGGTGCTGAGTCTGCTGGCGTTCCTCTGGGTCTCGTTTCACGACGCGAGCCTATCTCACCACAGCAGGCACGAGAGTGGCTTGCGTCTGCGTCGCGTACGCGCCTGAGGAGTCGTGCTGCTGGAGCTGCTTGTCGTGGAGGCGCTGGGAGTGCTGGTGTCTCTGGTCCTGGAGGTGCTCGTACTGGAGGTACTGGAGCTGCCGGGACTGGTACAGCTCCTGGAGCTGGAGGTGTCGGCTCTAGGGGTGTTGCTGCTAGAGGCATTGGGGCTGGAGGCCCTGGAGTTGGTGCTGTCGACTCTGGCGTTGGAGACCCTGGAGCTGGAGGTGGTTCTGGGGGTGCTGCTGCTGGAGGCCCTGGCGCTGGTCCTGTCGACCCTGGAGTTGGGGACCTTGAGGCTGGAGGTGCCGGCTCTGGGGGTGCTGCTACTGGTGGCGCTGGAGCTGGAGGTTCTGGAGCTGTTGGAGTCGCTGGGGCTGGAGGTACTGCTGCTGGAGTCCCTGGAGCTAAAGGTGCTGCTGCTGGAGGCAATGGAGCTGGAGGTGCTGCTGCTGGAGGCGCTGAAGCTGGAGGTTCTGGAGCTGGAGGTTCTGGAGCTGCTGGAGGCGCTGGAGCTACTGGTACTGGTGGCACTGCACCGTCGCGACTGTTTTTCGCTCCGCCATCACCGTCGTCTCTGCCACCGCCTGACTCCGTGCTTCGCCAGGTTCTTAGCCTCCCGTCTTCTACTGGCCTCCCGTTACAGCCCGGCGCACCACTGCCTGCTCCTTCTCCTTACACTGAGCAGACAGACTCGCTTACAGAGCGTCGTGAGCCTGCGTCTCGTCCTGCCTCGCCTGTTCGCGAGCGTCGCACTGGTCGTCGTGTTCCTCGTGAGCATCCGCCTCCTGTCCCTGGCACGCACGCTATGGCACTTCGTCCTTCCTCTGTTCCACAGCGTGTTCCCCTACCGTCTACTCCTGCGTCTTCTCTGCCTGTGGTTCAGGACCCTGAGTCTGACCTGGTTCGTGCTGCTCACCCTACCGTCACGCGTCTGCTAGCCACTGTTGTCACTGACCCGTCGTTTGAGTCTGCTGCTGCGTCTGCCTTAGTCTCTGAGCTTGTTGACTTTGCTGCTACCTGTCGTCTCGACTTCGCTGCTAGTCTTGTTGCTGAGTCTGAGTCTGTCTGTCCTCCATCCGTCGGGGGTGAGTGTGCTCTTGGCACGGACGTCCTTAAGGACAGGCAAGAGGACTTTGAGTGTCTTGCAGCCGCTGCGCCTCATCTCGTGGCCATGCTGCTTGCCCCTGAGGGAGACCCGGATGCTCCAGACATCCCGACCCCGCGCTCTTACGCTGAGGCGATCGCGGATGAGTACTCCTCTCAGTGGCAGACAGCCATGGACGCAGAGATGGCATCCTGGAAGTCCACAGGCACTTACGTCGACGCAGTTCCCCCTCCTGGGGCGAACGTAGTCGATGGCATGTGGATTTTCAGGGTGAAGCAGCCGCCGGGTTCTCCGCTTGTCTTCAAGGCTCGTTATGTTGCACGAGGCTTCAGTCAGCGACAGGGAGTTGACTTCTTCCAGACCTCTTCCCCACCCCGAAGATGACCACTCTTCGGGTTCTGCTGCACGTTGCCGCTCAGCGTGACTACGAGCTTCACTCCCTGGACTTCAGCACAACGTTCTTACAGGGCAGTCTGCACGAGGAGATCTGGCTACGCCGCCCACCTGGCTTCGCTAGGTCGTTCCCTCCTGGTACCCAGTGGAGCCTCCGCCGGCCAGTCTACGGTCTCCGTCAGGCGCCTCGCGAGTGGCACGACACACTGAGGACGACACTTGCGGCTCTTGGGTTTGCTCCTTCGACTGCTGACCCGTCGCTGTTTCTGCGCACCGACACTTCGTTGCTGTCGTTCTACATCCTCGTGTACGTCGACGACTTGGTCTTTGCCACCGCTGACACTGAGGCTCTGGCCCTTGTGAAGTCGGAGCTGCAGAAGAGACACACGTGCACAGAACTGGGTGAGCTGCGCAGCTACCTTGGCCTGCAGATCAACTGGGACAAAGCACGACGCACCATCACACTGACTCAGTCACACATGGTGCAGCAGGTCCTTCAGCGCTTTGGCTTCACTTGGTCCTCGCCACAGTCCACTCCTCTGGCTACCGGTCAATCGATCTCAGCTCCACCTTCGGACGAGTCCGTAGAGCCGAGTGGCCCGTACCCAGAGCTAGTGGGCTGCCTCATGTACCTGATGACCTGCACTCGTCCTGACCTCGCGTACCCTCTTGGCCTTCTGGCACGTTACGTGGCTCCTGGTAGGCACCGAAAGGTGCACATGGATGCTGCGAAGAGGGTACTGCGCTACTTGTGCAGTACATCGGGCATGGGGCTCGTGCTTGGAGGGCGGAGCTCAGTTGTCCTCACTGGGCACTCAGGCGCTTCTTGGGTTGATGACCTGGCGACGCAGCGGTCGTCACAGGGTTACACGTTCAGCCTTGGCTCTGGCTCTGTTTCTTGGAGGTCTACACGCTCGTCTTCTGTTCTCAGCTCCAGTTGTGAGGCTGAGATCTACGCCACAGCCATGGCTACACAGGAGCTACGCTGGCTCACCTACCTGCTGACCGACTTGGGAGAGAGGCCTCGTTCTCCTCCAGTTACTGTACGTCGACAACAAGGCTGCCATTGCCTTGTGTCAGGACCACAGACTGGAGCACAGAACGAAGCACATCGCTCTGCGTTACTTCCTTGCTCGAGAGTTGCAGCAGCGTGGTCAGCTTCGTGTCGCTCACGCGCCCACCCGGGCCAACACGGCTGATGTGTTCACCAAGGCCCTTCCGGCTGGTGATCATCAGCGCTTCTGCACTGCTCTAGGCCTGGTGCCTACGTTTCCTCACTTGCTGTAGACTCTGGTTGTATTGTGATATATATATATATATATATATATACCTGCATGTTTACTCTTGCTAGGTAGTGATTACTGTACTGTTGTTCTTACATATATATCTCTGTATGTGAACTGGCTTTGTGGCCCTTTGCTTGTGCTCGGAGTGTGTGGTGACGTTGTGATCCACCCTGAGCTTGCTTTGCTTTTCTTGACTGGTCTTGTGACCCCTTGTTCTCCCCACTTTGCCTATGGGGATGTGTCAAACCATACATGTGCTAGTTGTGTGTAGGCTATAGTGGGGTAGCCCATGTGGGGTACAACCCAATATTAGGGTTAGTACTTGTACCCACAATTCATTCAATGCACTCATTCCTGCTTGCTATCTTGACAGAGTATATCGAGAAGAAGTTTCCTCGATATTTCTTCCCGATATACCCACCTCCGAGGTGGCAGCAGAGTGCCAGCACGTGAGCACAACACACTGCACCTTTCCTAGAAAAGCTGCTGCCGAACAACTCGCAGCTGTGAAAAGTCCCCGCGCACCAAGAAACATTTCCTGCATGCTGCCAGCAGAACAGTAGTTGGAATTTGGGCCGTTGAATTGCGATTACTGTATATCATGAACCGCCGATTTAAACTACTGGTGTGCACGTTTTCAAGAACAAAAAACGTCAGCTCTTGGCGTATTCACAGCTCTATGTGTGGCGCTTCCCTACAGTCCACAAACTTTACAGTAAATGCATGCTGCCAGCTCAGCTCCGCAACAGCTCCCCAACTTGGCTGCAAGGTCGCGCCAGGTTGCGCCACATGCACTCTGCAGCAAAAAAATTTAGAGGACCCTGATTAGAGATTGCCAAACCTGAACAAACAGAGTGCCTCAACCCTGGAGACTGAGCAATCAGGGTGGCGAAATTCTGGCCGAAGTACGGGCATACTTTTTTTTTTCCCTAAGGATTCAGGGTGGGTCAAAATCGAGACGATCATCACCTAGTGTAAAGAAAATTCCTTTTCCTTACTTTGCGTCCCTGCTCAGCGCGTACGCCACTGTTCCCACCAACAGCACCCAACAGTAATCCGTTACCACTCGCGACACTCGCCTTGACACTGTTCCCGCCACTGTTCACGACGCGACCCAACCTCACGGTTTGGTTGGTAACCCGCGCTCCGGACCTCCGCCTCGACATTTCCCAACCTCGGTGCTAGGCCCGTCGCGCACCTCATTTTCCACACATTACCGTTACCACTGTAGTTTCGCTATATATTCTTCGCTCATGCCTTTGCTCATTGTACTCTTGCTTCGACAGTGCAGTTCTCGTTCGTTCACTCAATTGCACTCGTAACACTTGGTATTCAGAGCCTACGATATCTTCTCGGACCGCACCCACACCTTTGCTTCCCCACTATCTCTATTTTTGGGAGGGGGTAGACGTCTCTCAGCGAAACAAGCACCGCGGCTCATAGTGCTCTCTCGTAAGCACGCACGGCCACGACAGAGGCTCTCGCTGAGCTTGCCCGACACCCCCGCCATGGCGAAATTCACTCTCGCAACACTGACGCAAGAGCAACTCGACCGTCTCGTGCGCCGAGTCGCTCGAAATTGCGACGCTCACGGCGGAACGCGACTCCGCTCGTCAGCAATCCACGGTGAATGCTCCAGCGCCACCACACGCACCTGCAAATGCACCTGCACAATCGGAGGAGCCGATCGTCATTTCATCAGGCACACCGACACAAACGACAGTGTGGGACAGCGCTCAGGCGCAGCCAGTGACGGCGCCGCTCAATCGATGCCGGGCATGGAGAGGAACAAGGCCGCGCCAAGCCCGCGGGAGCCTCGCGAAGCCTGTCGGCACGTGGAGTTTGCGGCGACAAGTGGCGACCACCAATGCCACTCAAGCCGCAGCGCTCGCCCTGTTTCGACCCGAGCCAGCGTGGAGGTCCGACGGTTCAATCGTGGGTCTTCACGATGAACGTCTTTTTTGACGCGAACTACGTCGAGTCGGACGCAGCGAAGATCCGATATGCCGTCTCGCTGCTGAGGGGCCCCGCCATGGACTGGTGGCGAGTCATTGTGACGTTGCCACGCGCTTACGAGCCACCGTTGCAAGAGGAAGGGCCCACGGGCCCAGCCGTCACCTGGAGTTCATTCTGCGAAACCGCCCAATACAACACGTGGGGCGCGTGGTGCGCAGGGCTTCGGGCACGCTTCAAGCCGATCGTGGCTTCTATTTCGGCGCGTCAGAGACTGCGTACTTGGCGGCAGCTCGGATCAGTTCAAGACTATACGAGCGGTTTTCTCGCATTATGCGAGCAAGTCGGCTACATGCACGAAGCGGAGCGGGTGGACCGTTACGTCGGAGGGCTGAAGCCAGACATCTCGCACGAAATCATGCTACGTGGACTCTCGAATTTTAACAAGATTCTCGCGCTCGCCGAGAAAATCGACATTCTACGCCGTCCGAGACCGGGATCCTACTACGGACATCGCCCTCGGGGACCGATCGAGCACGCTACCGTACACGCCGTTGCGACGAATGCAGCTGCCGCGCCGTTTAAGGGGTGCTGCTTTGCTTGCAATAGGCCGGGCCATCGCAAGAGTGAGTGCCCAGAGGAGCTGAGGCGCCGCGGAGTAGAGCAGAGGAGGGAGTCTCCAAGGCAGGGAAACACCAGCAGCCAGTAGGAATCGGGCCAACAATTGACGAGACTGCTTGCTCGCCCAACCCCACCGACCCTCACCGAGTCACAGTACCGATTCACGCCATCGATCGGGCTCGGACGAATAAGAGGGTACAGCGACGGATTGCCCACTACTGATCCACGGGAAAATACAGGGAGCAGCAGTGAAGTTTTTTATCGACAGAGGAGCAAGTCATAGTTTAGCAAGTGACACTTAGCCTGTGTTTACCGGAGGTAGATGCACGCTTAGTTGACGGCACACCACTGGACATATGGGAAAAGGTGGAGAGAGTAAAAGTCCATTGCGGGAGGAACTTCGGGTTTACACAGGAAATGCTCGCGACGACACTGGATGGGCACGGCATTTTACTGAGACGTGATTGGCTGCGACGGTATAATCCGCGAATCGACTGGACGACGGATAGCTGCACTGTGCGAAGTAGCGGTAACTGGGTTGAACTACCTCACTGGCAGTCGCCTGAGTCTTCAACGGTCCACGTCAACGCCATCACAATGAAACGGGCTGTCGCCGCCGGAACTGACGTGTACGCAGTGGACATCGCAGTGGTAGAGGAAGCAGAGCAGCCGAGCGATTTCAAGAAACTGTTGGCAGCGGTACCGCCTGAACTACATGAACTGTTGAAACGGTATCCGGGGATTTTTTCCCGACGACTTACCCGAGGGATTGCCACCTCAGTGAGCACACGACCACCGAATACAGTTACAACCAGGGGCACAGCCAACCGTACAGCGACAGTTCAAACTGGCACAGCCCGAGCTGGACGAATTGCGGAAGCAATTAGGTTATCCATTAGAAAAGAAATCCATCCGACCGAGTTCGTCACCGTTCGCCGCACCGACACCGTTCACACCGAAAAAAGACGGAGGGTTTCGCATGTGCATCGATGACAGAGCACTGAACAGGGTAACAGTCAAGTCGCGATACCCCATTCCCCGCGCCGACGAACTGATAGACCAACTGCGAATAGCACGTGTCTTTTCGAAAATAGACTTACGGGGAGGTTACCATCAGATTCGAGTTGAACC